GTTTTCAAGTTCGCTACCAGAAACTTGAGACATGGATTTCCATACCCACCTCCAGGTAAATACTATTTGGTTGATGTTGCATATCCGTTACAAAGGGGATATCTGAAGCCCGATCCAGATACGAAGTACCACATTCCTGATTTTGAAAGATCTAGTGGTGTCACACGAGGCAAAAAAGAAGTTTTTAACAAAAGACACTCTTCATTGCACGGGGTAATTGAAAGAGCGTTCGGACTGTGGAAAAAGAAGTGGGTCATATTACGGGATATGCCGTCCTACCCTTTTCCAAAACAAGTACAAATAGTTGTTGGTACAATGGCGCTACACAATTTCATCCGACGCCACCCTTCCAGATCGGATGCAGAGTTTGTCATTTTAGAAGATGATTCAGTGCAAATCCCACATGAAGCATTTGAATATCACTTGGGACGTCCGATGCCTGAAAAGTTTGCTTCAGAAGATGCATGCACTCGAGAGGGTGAAGGTGCATCAGAGATGACAAGTTTACGAGAACAAATAGCAGAAGATATTCTCCGGTCATGATAATTTTTTTTTTCCTATTATGTTGTTTAAAAGTGTGTGTATAACACGACTCGTACTTTTAACTTTTTTCTGGAAATGCATGTTTTGAAATTGATAACAAATTTTTAGCGTTGGTAAATCTTCCTTATGTATTTAAAACAAAAATCTACTGAAACAAATTACAATAACTTCTTTTCTAAGGCTTTCTTTAGCAGGTACCTTGAAAACACTTACAGTAACTTACAGTAACTTCTTTTTTAAGGCTTTCTTGAGCTTGTCGGTCAAGAGCTTTGATTTACCAAGGCATCAAAGATCTATACGTCTACCATGGCAAGGTTTTCGACCATGGCTATCATCTGTTGTTCTGTTATGTTTTTAAAATATGTTTTCAATAACGATAAAGTTTATTAGATTAATCATTGATTGGAAATATTCATGTATTAATATTGATTTTAAACTACCTGAATCTTCTCAAGGCACCCTCAAGTGTAATATTTTTGTTTTCAAAGTTTAAATGAGTGAAATCAAACTACCTGAATGCTTTGATAACCGTGATTGTTTGGCTGTAGCCTGGATGAGAATATTGGGTGTTGATGTTAAATTGGGAGCAGGTTTTAGTTTTCCAAAATTTAGATACATAGCATCTAAACGTGATTTTTTACATTTATTCCATTCAAATCTTTCAAATCACATTTTGGATCTTTCCATTGGCCCTAAGCAGCTTGGAAGTCGGGTGCAACTGCTGTCTTTGTGAAACAAAATCGATGTCATCATGGGTTATTTTCTTTTGCATGCATACATCCAACTTCAAGGTAGCCATACAGATTCCAAAGACAACATCGTTTGACACCGGCTTTCAGATGTTGTTCCATTGCTAGGCCCCAACTGACTTCAATAATATGTGTTGATGTTAAATTGGAGTGGAATTTGCACACATTTTGCACAAAGTCAATATTTACATACATAGCACTCAAAGATTTACATACATGTCAAGATTTACATACATATCCTTATGTCCAATGTTAGCAAATCTTACATTTATAACAACCAAAGATTTACATACATACCACTCAAAGATTTACATACATGTCACTCAAAGATATACATATGTTACATTCAAAGAATTGCATAACAATTGGTGATGAAGCTTCTTAATAGTATGGAATTTCCAAGCTTCGATGTGATCTCATGGGCACCAATACTGCTTACTTAAGATGCTCCATGATTTTTGCTACAAAGATAGATTTCCTCGAGTGTGATCTGTACCAAATTCTGTCAGAACATACATAATTAAATGCAGATGTCAGTAGTCACAAAAATTAATATAGAATTTAATACACCAAATTGGATATGTTTTAGTTTTCAATGAAAAAGGTAAAAGCACAATACATCGTTAAGTTTATACTGTCTAAAGTTATATGAACTTAAAAATAAAACCACAAGGATTTGATGAACATAGCACTAGCATCTGATTAACATAAATTTTATACGTTAAGCAAAAATAGACTTGTACTCGATTCATTGAGAAATCAATAAAAATTTTTATTTACTAATTTTTTCTTGAGTTTTTGAAATAATCTCACCTTATAAGAACTAGCATTATGGTAACAACTTGTAGCAGTATATACTCTCCAAACGCCACTAAAACTTTATCAAGATTCAAAAAATAACTCTAAATCATTTTTCTAATTTAATTTTAAATTAGATTCCAACAATCATTTATCTAATAAAAATTTTAATTCAATAACTTTTTACTTGAGTTTTTTTTTATTCTCTCTAGTTTTGACTGGTCAACGTTTTTTATATTAATTGTACGACAATGAGCTCGAGATATTCAGGGAAGTCGGGGCAAATGATGTGCCGATGTGGGCTACCGTCATTGCTTTTTACATCACGACAGACACATAGTTATGGGCGACAATTCTACAGCTGCTCGCGGTGGGGACAAGGACCGGACGACTGCAAATTCTTTAGGTGGGCCGACATTGGAACTATTTCTACGTGCTCTCAATTGGACACAAATGCTAGGAGTTCAATAGTACGACAACGGAAGAAAGCCACGGGTGATTCGAATTCTCACGTTTCTTCGATAGCGCAGTCGGACAGGTTTGCTCAGGGTTCTGGAGTGTCAGATGCAGGTGGCATGGGTCGTGATATGCTGCTACATTAAAAAGTTAACATTATCATATTTTTACTTTTCCTTTTAACATGTTATTTTTTCTTTTTTATGGGCTCTTATTATACTTTGTAGTAGTATGTGTAGGTTCATTTGAATTTTTTATGTGTAACATATTCATTTGATGTGATCGGATATGTTTTAGTTATATAAATATAAATGATCTTTTTGGTATTTTCTGCTCTGAACAATGATCTTTAGTTTTGTTGAGAAAAAAACAAATTATGCTGCACAAATTATTCATTTAATTATAAAGAAAAATCAAAATAAGCTGTTTACAAAACGCACTAACCAAACAACTAAACTGCTTATTCAGAACAGGGGCAAAATGGTCAATTTTTCAGAATCAGCTATTTTTCATAAGCGCCAACCAAACAGCCAGACAACTTATCCGGATCAGCTGATCATCAGCAGATTATCAGGATAAGCCGCTTATCAGCAGAAGCTGGATAAGCTGCAGCTGCCCCAAACAGACCCTCAGTCTCCTTTAAGGATCAGCTCTGGGTTTGCAGTTCTCTTTCATATGAATTCTATGCATACAAATGGAAAAACTGATTTCTTTAATATCAGCAATTGTCCATCCAAAAGCTTTCTTAAAATTTTTAAAAATTTTCATCAACCTTTCTTCTTCTTCCATCGGTAATTTTGAGGAAATTATAACTGATAAAGTAGACGAATCTCCTAAAAGTAGAGGAATCTAGTAGAGGAATCTCCTAAAAAGGCGTATTTTAAATGTTCAGGAAGTAACTTCAACTCAAGTTTTGGAGGTTTTTCAATTAATGGACAAAATGAATTATTTTTTTCTATCCTGTCCAAAATTTCAAAAAATTCTCAAACATAGTTTGAATCTTCTTTAAGAAGTTCTTCACTTCAATCTAATTCCTCTTCATGCTCGTGCTCCAAATCTTTTTCTTCATATTTTTCTTCATAAGTTGTTTTGAAATGGCATTCACTTAGATATCTTATGACATCCATCCTATAACATTCATCATCTTTACCTTTTTGCAGGATATTTCATTGATCTTGAAATATTGAAAGTAATAGTTTGATCATTGATGCGCATGTTAATTTCCCTTTCTATACATCTATCATTGCTCTTCCTATGGCTAGGAAAGATCTCCCCAAAATGATAAGTATCTCTTTATCTTCCTCCATAACTAGCACAATGAAATCAACAGGAATGATAAATTGATCCACTTTCAGTAGGACATCTTCTATAACTCCTTTATGGTATGTTATTGAACAATCTGCTAGCTGCAGAGTAAAAGTAGTAGGGGTTATTTCTCTTAATCCCAAACTTTTGAATATTGATTATGGCATAAGGTTAATGCTTGCACCTAAATCACATAAAGCTTTCCCATAAAATCTGTTTCCTATTGCATATGGAACTGTAAAGCTACCAAGATCTTTAAGCTTTTCAGGAAGCTTTTTCTGAATTATAGCACTGCACTCCTCACTAAGTGCAACAAGTCTCATTATCTTTTAAACTTCCTTTTCCTGTTGAAAATATCCTTCATAAACTTTACATAGCTTGGCATTTGTTCTAAGGCTTCATCAAATGGAATATTAATTTTAAGCTTCTTAAATATTTCTAGAAATTTTGAAAATTTCTTATCCAACTTTTGCCGATGAAGTCTCTGAGGAAATGGAGGTGGTGGTTTTTCCAAATCAATTTTTAGTGGAGAAATAGGTCTTTGAGAATCTTTTGAAGCGTCCTATTTGGATTCTTCAATTTCTTCTCTCTCAATTTCAATTTTTTTTTGAACCCTACCTTCCAACTCTCTTTCGCTTCTAAGTTGAACAACTTTTACTTCGTCTTTATTCTAGTCTTTTGGTTTTGATTCAGTATTATTAGGAAGTGTTCCTTAAGTTCTATTACTTAATGAATTTTATATTTGCCTAAGTTGATTCTGAATATTTTTAATTGTAGCTCCTTGACTTTGTAATTGATTTCCCATTTGTAACACCATTTTTTCTATAGACAACGTCTTCTCCTTAAATTGTGTGTTACTGTTGAAACTTGGAGAATATATAGATCTATAAATATTATTCCCTTGATTATTCTAGTTTCCTAATGGGTTTACTTGGTTGTTCCCCCATTGTTGATTATTCCCCCATTGTTGTTCCCCCATTGTTGATTATTATCACCCAAATTGTTGTTCCAGTTAAAGTTGGGATGTTTTTTCTAACGTGGGTCATAATAATTTGAATATGGGTTATTCTGCTTGTTACTTATGGCATTCAAAGTTTCTAATGTTGCCTGAGAATCTACCATTTGGCCTAATTAATTCTCTTCAATCATGAAAATTGGTTGAGCAAAATTCATTCCAAATTGCTTTAACTTCCTTGAAATTGCAGTAACTTGATTTGCTAGCATAGTAAATGCATCAGTTTCATGAATATTGGTTACTTCCTTAGGATTCACCCTCTCAGAAGGCCATTGAAAATTATTGGTAGCCATTTCTTCAATTAAAGTATAGGCGTCATGAAATGGTTTTGACATCAATGAACCACCAGCAATAGCATTGATAATTGATCTAAGAGATCCAACTAATCCATTATAAAAAGTTTAAATTATTAACCAATCTGGTATAGCATGGTGTGGCCACTTTCTTAAGAGTTCTTTAAATCTTTCCCATGCTTCGTAAATAGATTCCTCTTGAAACTGATTAAAAGATGTAATATCATTTCTAAGGTTCGTAGCTTTTGATGGTGGAAAATATTTAGCAAGGAATTTTTGTGCTAAATCACCCCAAGTTCTGATAGATTCAGGTGCTAACAAATTCAACCATATCTTAGCTATATCCCTCAGTGAGAAAAGAAATAACCTAAGTCTTATGGCATC